GTATGAAATTCAAAGCAATATTCATGAAGGTCCTCAGTGGATTCTCCTAGATTCTGAACAAACGAGGCTTAATTTTTTTCAGCAAGGTCATTCCATCCTATGCTTTTAAAGGCTGTGTTTATTCAAACGTTGCACTAAATGAGAATGTGATTTGTCTGATTTAGTTTAACAGTATACTGTATAGTGCATGAGTCAAAAAGAGGGCTGTGAAAATATCTATAGTCCCCTCACATCCTGGACATAAATTGTTTCAACTTCTACCCTCAAAATGACGTTATAGGACATTGTACACCAGAACAACTAGACCTGTGATGGTGAACCTATGCTACCTGTGTCAGAAATGGCATGCAGAGCCATCTCTCCAGGTATGCCAGCCATTGCCCATTGTTCTTCCGGGTTCTGGCACGCACATGCATGCTGGCCAGTTTGTCTTCGCGCATATGGGAGTGCCGGAAACCAGAAGAGCAGCTCCCTAGCATGCATGCATGTGCTGGCCAGCTGGTCTTTGCGCATGCATGCATGTTAGAAACTGGAAGACCAGATGGCTGGCACGCATGCACACACTAGGAAGCTAAGCTTCTGGTGTCCGGTGCTCCCGTGCACGTGCCAAAAAGGTGCTCTTCTGCTTTTTGGCGCGCGCGCACGCTCCTGTTTTGGCACTTGGTGCCGAAAAGGTTTGCCACCACTGAACTAGACACAAAGACAGTTTTTCCCCCATGCCATCACTCTGCTAAACAACTAATTCCCACAACACTGTCAAACTATTTACTAAGACTGTATTACTATTCTTCTTCTTATCCTTCCTATTGTCTATCTCCTTTTTCTACTTATGGCTATAACTTTGTTGCTTGTATCTTTACAATTTATATTATTTTATTTAATTTCCTAGTATGATTTATGTTGATTGCTTAATTAGTATCCCATGACTATCATTAAGTGTTATATTTTATGATTCATGATAAATGTATTATGGCGACTATGATCATGATTTATCACATATCTTTATGTACATTGAGAGCTTATACACCGAAGACAAATCACACTTGGCCAATAAAAGAATTCTATTCTATTCTATTCTATTCTATTCTATTCTATTCTATTCTATTCTATTCTATTCTATTCTATTCTATTCTATTCTAATCTAATCTAATCTAATTCTATTCTACTCTACTCTACTCTAATCTACTCTACTCTATTCAACAGCTCTTATGTGATCCCACTCAGCAAGGGACCTTTATGGCATCATAACTCCTTCAGTTGAAAAAAATTAAATTGGGGAAACATTTGTGCAAAATATTAAGGAACCTTTACCCACCACTAGTAGGAAGTTGCATATTACAAAGCAAAGTCCAAGTCTCTAGCATCGTACTTACTTTCAGCAATGACACTGGAGGTCACAAAGACCATCTAGGATAATAGAGAACATCCCAGGAACTAGCTCACTCTCTCTTGTTTTACTTTGTGACTGCCCAGGTCCAGCATGGCAGTGTTTTTTGAACAGGCAAGTGTAACATAGAAGTCGATTTATCAATGTGCTCTCAAAATTCTAAAAGTACCCTTCACTCAGAATGATTGCCTACCCCTACTTTATTGCTCAGTGTATTGTATAGCAGAGTAACAGAGTTGGGAAGGGACCTTGGAGGTCTTCTAGTCGAACACCCTGCTCAAGCAGGAGACCCTACACCATTCCAGACACTGGATGTCCAGTGTCTCTTCTTAAAAGCCTCCAGTAATGGAGTTTTTTTTTCAGGTATGAAGTCTGCCTATTTTTTTCCATCAATAAGCCATGTGCAAACGAACCATGGTTTGGCAGTATGAACCAGGTCAGTGCCTTGGGTATTGGCTATTAATTATACTTTAAAGTTATTTTCCCCACTATTTATAAAGAGATAATAGAGCAGGTCAATTCTATTTGGTTATAGCTAATAACACAAACCTAGACACGATTTACTCAGAAGGAAATCTTGATGAATTCAGTGGGACAGCCTTGTTTGAATATTTCACTTTACAATTACTGTATTGATTTATTTTGAGTGATGACTTCCAATAACTATTAAATTAAATTATTCTTCCAGCAAATTTCACAGAACCCCTTTACAAATTTCTCCTTCTCTTGCCCCTTTCCTTTCCTTCCCCCTCCTTCCTTTTTCTTTTTTTTTTCCCTGGGTCTGTTTTCAATCTTGGCTTATCACTATCATATTTCATGCCTGATGCATCTGGATGGAAAATTCAATATCGAAGAACAGAGTAATCCGGGGCTTTCCTTCATTTCTGTCCTTTATATCCTTGGGCTGTCCCATCTGAATGGCTGGTTTCGATTGTGTTGCATTTGGCAATTGCTAGTTGCTACCAGCCTGTCTAATCCTTTTTATGGCTCCTTATCACTTATTCTTGGCCTCCCTCCCCCACCCGTTTTAATTTTGTCCGTTTTGCCTTCACAAGTTACTAGTGTGTATTTTTGCCTCCTTTAAGAGGCTTGATGCTTTCCTTCACGGTCTTTCATTCAGGTTTCTGGTCAGAAACACAAAGACATGACCAGAGGTTAGTATCACATCTTGACAGTTAGCGTTGCGTTTTTCTCATCAACAAGAGAGAAAATCACCATTTTCCAATAAAAGGCTATGCCCCTAGAAGATTGCCATTATTGATAAGGCAGACTAGAAAATGAACCTCTAAATTGGTCATACTGAATGAATCACTATCTTCTGAAACTTTTCTTCCATAATGCTAATCTCACCCCACCTCCACCCCCATTCCCCATGTTAATCTCCTGAGTTAAACTGACTTGAATCTCATAAGAACAGTGTAGAACAAAATGAATAAATTCCCTAGGGGGGAAAGAACTAACCACAACATTATCTATTTAAGATAATAGAAGAACTGAAAGAGCATTGTTGGCATCCTTGCATGAAATGTAGTAATGTTTGAAATGCAACACTCTCCGGAAGCTGAAATATGGCAATGCAATGCAAATATATCATAGGAATGCTGATTGCATAAAATCAGTGGATTCTCATTATGTAAATGTTCCTTGGGAAAACTGCTAATTCAAAATAGGTGCCGGCTTTGCTTTACTGAATTTGTAAATTAACTTAAAAACAATGCTTAGATGGTAGGATTTGCTTCCCAGACTTAATGAACTTAATTCCAAGACTAAATTTAGAATCTAGAGTAATGATGCAGAATCTAGACTAATGATGCAGCATATCTTTATCGAAAGCATGATTTTGGGAAGCTATGGAGTGTGAGCAAGAATGAGATGGAGCATGCTTTTGCACAGTTTTCTCTGAGCATTTAGAGCATTCTCTGAAGCCTTGTGCAACCTGGAGCAGCTTTGGGCACCCGGCATGCAGCAGAACCTGGAGGACGCTGGATTATGGGAGCAATCCTTTGGGAAACGGAGATAGCCTTTTGAGCAGCAACACTGGTGACAGACAGCGTTGAAGTTGGGGCCCAGCTTATAGTTCAGGCCTAGTCATCTACTTCAGACCCAGCTTCAGTGCTGCCATTGAGTGCTACTATTCAGGGCGACTTAGATTGGAAGGAGAGAAGATAGAAAATTGTTTCTCTTTTGGTGTGTGTGTGTGTGTGTGTGCACACATGCACACGCACCAGTAGAGTCAAGTTAGGCATTTTTCAAGTTTTTGACACACTGAAACAGAAGTCTACTAGAATCTGCATTCCTATGTGGTTATCCTAAGAGGGGATGTTTAGATCCCTATATAAGAAAGATCTTGGGGACGGGGCTTGTGATGGACCCGACAAAGTAGAATAACATATTCCTTGCAGTTTACTTGGCTAGTTTTCCAGAAACCAGTAAAAATGTTCCTGTTTCAACAGGTCTTTGGACTCTATTGATGGTATAGGTTTCCATTTCTCTTTTGGTGGTTTTTTTTGTTTACTGTTTTTATGGAAAAATGTATTTTATTGGAATTTGATTTTTGAATGATATATATTTTACTATTTTTTGATTTGGTGGTATACAATTTTATAACAACAATTACAACTATAACTGCACTTTTTAAACAACCAGCAGATTATCCAGTAAAAAAAATCCTGGTATCTATCATACCTGCCCATTCTGATTAGCTCTTGTTGTGCCCTTTGGCATATAAAACTTTGACTTCTGATTTGGTAAATTCTTGAACTACTGTTTTGCTCATTTTACTTGTTGGAGGTTTAATAAATGGATATATACTTTTCTTCAGCAGAACCAGTCTGAATAATCTCTAGATGTCATCTGGATTTTTATGCAATCTAAATCCACAATTTTGACTCCAAAATATGGTTATACCATAACATAAACAGCACACTGTATTTTCAAAAATAGCAACATCTTTTATATGTACTGAATAAAGTAATACACCAAGATATTCTACTTGATATATCATCTGTCTTCACTTGAACAAGTTTTAGAACTTGAACTGTTACTTTGAATTTGAGACATCTCTTTCTGTTCTCAGTGTAAGAAATTACTAAAGTTCTACAATAAGGCTGAACAAGAGATCTGAAACAATAGTTTTACAATATGCACCTGTGTGAACAATGCATTCATTTTGAAGACTTAGAGCAGCCAGATCATTTGTAAATCTCATGTGCCTACTTCAAAATGTTCCCATTGTTGCTGCATGTATATGCATGCACGGTTACTTCACTTTGCCGGTTGCCCCAGCAGAAGTGGTGTACGTGCAATGAGAACATTGAGAAGACAAACGTTGGAGCAACATGAGCTTTGTAAAGGGTATTACAGTTCATCCATTCACTTTTACTTCCATATCACTGAGATACATTCACCTTCAGCCTTCTTTAGGTTCTACCTAGTCCGGAGAATAGATAAATGCAGTCAAGGCTTGGTGGTTCATAGATTTGGTCAGTAAGGGAGGCATTAATTAATAGATACACTCACACATTTTCAACAGAGTTATGGTTCAGGAACTTACGCAGTAATGAAGTGCTCTAGAGAGTGCACAGTCTCTCTTAACTTATAAAAGCTTTATTACAATTTCTTAAGCATTACACATACATGCACACATACACCCACACCCACACATGGATTCAGGCATATACTCAGTTGCTATCACAGAACTGGCTAGGTGATGAATGGGGTTGTGGAAGACAGGAGTGCTTGGCATACATTTATGGCAACGTGCCCAAATAAAGATTTTCTCACAGAAACCCCTGCAGCTCTGCCTTTTATCCTTTGCCAGCATTTCATCATATGTCACCTCAGCTGTCCTTTTGTTGGCAATTAGGTTAGTGAGTCAAACATGACTTGCTGCATGGCAGCTAACTTTTTTTTATCTCTGGTTGCTGTCATCCGGTTCTTGTCTGATTTCAAAGTTAACATCCTTATCTTAGCTAGCTTGCTTGCTTAGCCACATATTTCCATAGGGTCAAATTTTGGGCATTCTACTTCATCTGCTTCTCCCAGCATTCTAATTTTTGTAACAAGTAGAATGTGAATATTTTTAACTTTTTAAGTAGTTATGTCCATTTTGCAAAGCATTTTTTAAAATACTTAGCATTCTATTAGAAAATAGTTGAGCTATTATTCGTTGTATATAGATCATAACACTCTGTACAGTATATGAATAGATCTTGGCTTCACTTTATATACATTACTTAAAACTAGTCTATTTTAAGTTATACAGAAGGGATGATGCTTTCCCCTTTTCTGGAAAATAAACACGGGGAGATATTTGGTTGCAATTTTTGTAGCATCTCAGTGAAAAGTGCTATTTTGTTTTTTAAAATGTTAAAACTAGAATATACTAAAATAATATTTTTAAAAGTTTATTGTTTATAAAAGAGTACCATAGAATCTTTTAAATATGTATCTCAAAATAAAAACAATTTTGTTTTAAAAAAAACTTTAACCACTAGGGCGAGGATTTCTATAACATGTCAAGATTTTTTCTGGAACCTTATTTGAGTTTATAAATAAAACATGTTTTAAATTTTAGAGTAATCTGGTGAGAATTACAAGTAGATGCTTTTTATTCCTGAAAAGTCATATTTTGACTTGTTAAAATGTTATTAGCATATTTCTGCTAAATTTTGTAGCAAACATCATATTTTAGTCACTGACAAGTCTCCTGATAAGCTAGCAAGTTTGAGCCAGCAAAGAAAGTGAGGATTTGCGTGCTTTTCTTATTCCCTCCCCAACTCAGGGAGACGTGTGTGTGTGTGTGTGTTGGCGTGTGCACTATTTTTAAAAAGTGGGTGCTACTTTCAGAAAAATTGTAAAATCATATTTTTGCTTTAAATGTCATATTTTTGGTTTAATTAGCCCTATTTAAATTATTTTAAGGTCATAAAAGGTTTCATATTTCTAACAGTTTAGGTTATAGAAATCCTCACTTTTCAGGTGTCCATAAAGGATTGTGGAATCTGAATGCTGATTCAAACAATGTTTTTTTTCTCCACTGAAAAATGTCTGGACATGTTGAAAAAACAGCTGAAGGTCATTACAATACAGATTCCATAATAGATAATATAAGCAGAAATGAGTGGATGACTAATCCCCTCAAGAATCACACTTTGCAAAAGATGGGCCCAATGACAATTGTTTCTTAAAACTTCCCACTGCATCTGAATCAGTCCACAGTGAATACCTTGTTGATATCACTCCACTTAAGTTTGCGCTATCCAGAACTAGGTGAATTTCTAAATCAAATTCTCTAAAACTCACATAATTAAGGCAAAAAGCAGAGGATCTTCGCTGGGGGGTTGCTCTGCTTACCATCAGGCTCTCACTGCAGATTTCCAAACACCACTTGTTGAATGAAGTTCTCCCACTTGTTGTCCCATAATCCCTGCAGCTTCCAGTCTCCTTGCCTGGCAAGCTAAGTTATCAGAGGGAAGATGAGCATCTAAGCGGTCAAACTCATGAAGATGGAAATGAGTTGCAAGTTGGTTCACCATTCTTTTGAGAGCAAGGAATGCAGTAATGACTTGGAAGACAAGAAATACTACAAAAATGATGTTGACTGCTCGTTCCAAAGGTTGAATCCTTAGCCCTTCATTTAAAAGTAGGAAAAGAATTAGGGGCACTTGCAGAAGGAGACTCAGGAGCCAAAACCCAGCTAGTTCAGGAACCTATAAAGATATGGAGAAAAAAAGGAATCAAAATATTATATCATTCTGTCAATATAATTCAAAGAGCAGAGTGGTACAGAAAATTGAACTTTACCAGTATCCAAAATATAAACACAGAAGGATACAAATTCAGAGTTATAGTACAAGAGTCCGGTTTTGTATTTTTTCCTCTGCAGAAAAAGCTCCTTTTCAATGGTTGTGGTTATGACTTTGAAGACAATTCTGTCAGTGAAATGAAGCATAATTTTTAGACTTTTCAGGCAGATACCAAAGCCAACTAATATTCTCTATATTGTTTTAATGACAGAAAAAAAACAAGGAGTGAGAGTCAACAAGAGAAGGTTCACAAAAGATACAAGATGCTTGTTTATTTCATTTCAAGAGTAGCATCTTAGCTATCAATCACGTTCTTTAAGGCCTTGCTCCACTTCAGGGGCTCTGGTTTCAAATAACAGGCTCTGATTATGTAGAATCTTGGGAGCTAGGAAGATGCAGAATTTAGCAAAAGCCAGTACAAAGAAAAGAGGCAGAGATAATAGTTCAACATCAATCTTACACATAAAGGTCAGAATTGAATCCAAACTATAAGCCCTTGAAATCAACACGCTTAATTACATTCTATGTAACTTGTAAAACCTAGCATAATTATTTTCATTTACTAGAAAATACTTTCTTCATATGGACAGCATAATTAAAATTAAGACTTTAATTAAACCTTATGCAGCACAGCACTATTTTAAATTGCTATTGAAGCTGTAGGCAGAATGCTTGACTAAAAGAAGATCAACAGTGCATTCTTACAAATGTCTGATCAGAACTAAATCACAGTGAGTTCAGTGTAGCCCTCCATCGTAATCTATGTTCCAAAACTACAAGTCCAGCATTGTTATATAGTCCTCGGAAAGTCTGACAGTAACCCCAAAGTTATTAAAAAGTTGTGATTTTTAATGTGTCCGAAAAAGAAAATATTATTAATATTATTAAATAGAGGAATCTTTATAAATGAAAGTTAATTTTACTGTTAAATGTAAATTAAATCAAATTCCATGATTCCCAGAATGCCACTCAAACACCAGCTGTGGTCCTTGCCTGCCCAATGTTGATAGATAACCCTCCCCACACACACACACTTTTGATAATTTTCAGTTTAGTTCCATGTTAATTTTTAAACATTACACTTTTAAACATTACAAATAGTGTTTTGGTATATCATTAACTCTTGTGTGTTTCAGGAATTCAGAGGACTTTGATCGTATTTAAATAAGCCCCACCACAGTTGTGAAATTTTGAACAACAGTAAACCCATATATTGAAAGACTCAACAGAACTTGTCAAACTTTGAGTCTATTGCAACAGAAAAAATATGAAATAGACATAGGGAATATACATCTTTTTATGTTTGATATTGCTGTTCTTAAGGAAATCAGTATGCTTTCAATGTTTTAAAAAAGGATCAAGAAGAGATGAAGAAATCTCCTGATCATAGAATTCACATTGTTGGAAGTCAGATGGTACATACATTTAAAAAATATTTTAAAGGTAACAAAATAATATTTATTTATTTGTTTATTTATTTATTATCAAATTCATACAGTTCTCCATCTTCCCCAAAGGAGACTGTGGGCAGCATACAACAATAAATAAAAAAGCAATATAATATAGATAAAAACCTGAAAGTCAAAGCAATAAATAACATAAAAACAAAAATACTAATCTTGGGTGAAGGAAGGATAAAAATAACTCCTCAGCAATTGAACCATTGGGATAGAACTCCAGTTCCCTTGGAGCTCCAGGCCTGGCAGTATAAAACAAGTCTAAAGTTTCTTACAGAAAATCAAAAGGGATGGGGCCAATCTAATTTCAGGAGGAAGGATGTTTCATAAGACTTATAAGGATGCCACACCAGATAAGGCATGACTCCTGGGACGGCATGTCTCCTGTAAGTCAGTATCCTATGGTACTCGCAGCATACCTTTTGTGTGAGATCTAATGGGGCAGGCTGATGTAATTGGGGAGAGATGGTCCCTTAGATAACACAGGCCCCTGCCATGAAGATGTTTAAAGGTTAAAACCTCATCTTCAATTAGGACCCAGAAGCAAAGTGGCAACCAATGCAGCACACAGTAGAGAAATAACATTTGCTGTCCTAGGAACACACATAACTGCCCATGATTCGGCACCTGGCTAAATAAAGAACAAATTAAGACTCAAAGACAGTCCTGAATTCAGATTCAAACTATATATCATAAATAATGTTTTTTCAAAGAACTATATCCATTTGTTTAGAAAGCTGGCTCTTAAGTATGTGAAGGACACCTACCTTCTCCTGCAAATTTCCCATGTATCCAAGGTATAGACGTATAACCTCAATTAAAGTTGTTAATATAATGCTTGTCACAAGGATGAATTTGTAGTAATCTGGTAAGACTGAATACTAGAATTGAGAAGAGAATGGAAAATAAATACTCCACTTGGACAAATTAATTTTATGTGTGAAGTTGTCTTTTTGTAAACCATATCTCACTGAGAAAATTTTCTACGTATTCTCTACAAACTTAGCACACCTATTTCTCAATCCATCAGCATCAAATGTACCTCTCAGAATAAGATCAGTGGAAATCTTTTTTTTTTTTTTTTTGCATTATTTACAGGGGTATGGTAAAAATCAATAACCAAACATCCTTACAAGAATAACAAATCTCAAAACTGAAGTGCATCTTATTGCCTTTTAGATCTTACCTTCTGCTGCAACATGGCAATACTGCTTGCCCACCAAAAAGGGAAGAACCAGAAGTTGAAATACAGGGACATCTGTAAGGGCAAACTGGAGACTATTTCATTATCTGAAGAGACAGAGAAGAAAACCTGTGAGGTACAGCGTATTCTGCTGGCAGGATCCCTTACTCTTTCATGACCTAAAACACGTCTATATGTCTGAGCTGAAACAGTGGCTCCTAAGGACTGCCATTCCATATGTCATACTGGCATATTTCTGAACCTGTGTTAGTCAGCCTTTAGAGTTGAGGGATTCTGGTAATAATTTTCGATGTGATGTATGATCTTCTAGCCTAAATACGGCCACTATCTAGATACGGTTCACATCTTGGGCTGCAGTACAGAGGTTATTTTTTGCTTTGTGTGCTGAGGGCACCGCGACTGCAGCTGGTCTTTTTGGCAATAGTGTCATGTTAAGAAAACGAAAGTCGCGTTTGAATAGTTTACATACTTTGAAAGGATTGGTTTTGGAAGGTGGTGTAATTTAAAACAAGGACTATCCTCGATTTAAAAGGTTCCCCCAGAGCCCAGACGCTCCGGAACGTTTCCCTGTTTCGCGATCCAGTCTGTACCAGGAAGTCTGGCAGCAGCTTCGCAGCGGCCACCGCAGGAATGGCCACAGCGCCAACACCGCCATCTTTGTAGCTGGCACAACGCCGGGGGTGGGGGGGAAACACACGCCCTCACCGATGTGGTTGGCGTCGCCTCTGTTTTCGGGTCCCGTGCGGTTGTTGTCCGTAAAAACAGTTCGGCTGAACGAATTCAGCCGCCTTCTCACCGGCTCCGGCAACGACATGGAGCAATACGAAGGGCCGCTCGAGAGCCGTTGCTAAGGCAACGGGGTCCGGCAGAAGTTCTTGACCGAAGCCCCGTCTGGGGGGGGGGGGGAAATTGCCGCGCGGTCATAGTTTCCGGTTCCGACGTTCTGCCCGACACCTGGCAAGAGGGGAGGGTCACCCCTGGCGTTCCATTCGGGGCTGCCTTAGGGTTTGGGGTTTTTTTTTGCAGAAAAAGAAAGGAAGGTTGCCGCCTGGTGGGTTACGTAGGTGAGGTAACTCCCTCCTTGGTTTTTGCTTGCAAAGAAAATCGGGAGCGGGAACGGAAGGAGGAAATCGAAGTCTGGCAAGCAGTTCGCTCGTTTCGCTTCATTTGCTGCGAAACGTTATGAAGGATAAGCGTCAGTGCTGTGTAAAGATGCTGAGCGACAAGGTGGTTGTGTGAAACGCTAAGGAGAAGCTGCAGTTCTCCTTAGTGAAGCCAGAGAGAGAAGGAGCTCGCCAATTGGAAACGGCGCCGTTTGCAGTTAAAAGTCAACTGAACCTTTGCTACTAAGGGACTGCATTAGAGGAATTGCAATCAAAGTCGCATTTGAGGCCTGAGTCGTAGCAGGGCAGTTGTGTTTCTTAAACGGTTTGCATTGGCTCAAGCATCTTAAAGCAATTCATAAGCGTGCATAAGCGCAGGGGGCGTGCATAAGCGCACCAACGTGCCTACCGTCCCTGTCCTATTGTTTCTCTTATTCTTTTATTTTTCTTATATGTACCTATTTCATATATTCACAACCATGTATACACTTGTACTTATTATCTTGTAAACAATTGACAAATCAAATAAATAAATAAATAAATAAAATAATGAATTCCGTCGGAATTGCCCATCAATAATTTTAAAACCAAGTGAGCATCTTGCCGACTTAGGAACACAGCCTTCAGTCATTCCCGTACTAAACAAATCCCCTTTTGAGTTGAGCTGGATTCTGGCGACTTCGTGGATTGCCCGTCTGTTTTTCTTGGCAATGAAATAGAAACGATTTACCACTTTGCCTTCTTCCGGAAAGTTTGACTAGATATAAAATACTGTTAAAAGCACAACTCTGAATGATAACCACTCAGTGGCATATCGGATGGAGACAGTACTTGCTCCCTTTGGACTTAAGGGATAAACGGAATGAATTTTCCAAGCGTGGGTGCAGCTCCTGTGTGTGCAATTAAGCCTAATGGTTTGGTATATTGCCAGCTAGTGCATTTGTAAGAAAGGAATAGAAGCAGCATTCTTTTTGAGTTGTCTGTATTCATGCTGTTGGTGGTGTTAATCTACATTCTGTCTATAACATATAAGACCTAGCAGCTTGATAAAACTCAATAATAATAATAATAATAATTAGCAAGTCTACATAGCTCTGCCACTTTGATACTGGAAATAATATGTAGCCATAATTAGCCCTTGATAGCTTTAGACTATATTATTGTGAATATTATTTGCTTTGCTTTGCTAAAATCCTTGAACGTCCCCCAATTAACTAAATATATATGTTGGAAGTTAAAACCCACCCCTCTCCTAGGAAAATAAATATTTTAGGATATACTAAAAAGACAGGATATTTCCCCTAAAAAGAAAAGTAGAAACGCAGAGGCAGAAACTCAGCCCCCCACCTTTGCTAATGGACCATTACTCTGGCCTGGGCCAGTCTATTTTACATAACAAAAATCTACTCCAGGTAGAGCTATAATCAGAATTGCCCAAAGCCCTTTCATTTCATCATCATCCAGCAAGGCTCAACCAAGCCTGGGACTCAGGACAGCCTACAGAGTTGCCCCTGCATGGCCCCATGGGAGTCTGACAACCAAGCAGAATACAAGCTCAAATTCAAATCCCAACAGAGGGGCAAAACCAAGGATCTCTCAGCAACTTGTTCCTTTTTCTTTTCCTTCACCCAACATCTTGAAGTATGTGATCATCCTTTTCACTTTGGCCTCCAAGCCATGTGGTCCTGTCCACCATTAAAGCATCTTTCCAAGCAGTCACCATGTTTCCAGTGTTTCTTCCCCACTTGGAACTGAACCCAGAAGGATATTTCTTCCAACACATATTAAAATATAAACAAAAGCATCAATAATGCTTAAAATCATATGCAAAGTAAAGCAGGCTTTGCAAGGCAAGGACATTGCAGAGCCAACTACCTCTGCTATAGAATGCACAAAAGCTATCCAGGAGAGGCAGGAATTGTTTCAGGGTTGTTTACTTTTATTTTTTTACTCTCTACTTTCCAACCCCTATGGCAAACAGAATATTTATTTAAATACTTTCTAATTTGGCAGTTTGCATTCTTTGGGTTCCTATTTAGCAATGTGAACATCAAATATGCCATGGGGAAGTTTAAAAAAAATTAAATGCAGCTGTCAATATTTATATAGATGAGAAAGCTTCTGGTTTTTATAATACACTGACCTTTTAAAATTTTATTCTTTATTTTAGAAATTTACAAAATATAAACAGGCTACCAAAATACAGATTGTAATGGTAGCAAAATCAAGCTAATCAATCTAAGAAATCTTTGACGGTGATGGGCAGTTCAGAAATGTAAAGAATAAAAAAATAAGAATTTAAAAAATTGAAAATTAAAGAATTAAAAGACACCCCCCTCAAAAAATCCTAACAAAATGTATCAAATTAAATACAAAGGGATTAGAGTTAGATTGAAACTAAAGATCTAACAAATATATTAAGCCTATAGTCTTACAATATATATTATAATTGGGTAAAAAAGGAAAATTGCTTATATGATACCACTCTGTTATAAAATATAAAATCAATTTTAAAATACTGGTTTATTTTTTCACCAGTAGAAAATATTGCCATTTCCAAAATTGATAAATTACAAATTTCCAAAAGTCACTCCTTTAGTCTGGAATAATAGCATTTTCCCAGTCTTTCAGCAAAATTCATTTTGCTACCCCTTGTGCATGATGTGCTTAATTTAACCATAAAGCATAATCAGATTATACAGATTTAGTACAAAATTCAATATCATATTAAACTTATTGTTGAGGGATTCCCCAATCTGCCTGTATACAGTATATTGAAATACTTTCCCAAAAAGATAACAAAGAACCACATCATCAGTAATCCCTCCAATTTTCTGCAACAAAAAATATCTTTCCAGTACATTCTTTGGGGAGTCCAATACATTTCTATAATTTTTGACGAATAAGCTTTACTCTCAAACTTAATGTAAGTTTCTATTCTCAGTACTTTATTTTTGAATGTTAGGGTTACAGGCCAATAAAATGAAATTTTCCATATCTGCTGCACTTATGGCTTTAAGATAGGGAGGGCACAAATCCCTTGAATTGTTATTATTTTTGTCATGTATACATTCTGCAAATAGAACAAAGACATATTTTTTATTTTTATAACACAAGAATATTGGGTTTTTTAATGCAATTGTTCAATTATATAAGTTGGTCACTGGCTGTTCTCCCAGATTTAGGTCCTGGGGATGTTTGGCAGCAGCACAGGGCTACAAATGTTAGATGCATTGTAACTAAATCATATACAAATCTTTCTGCAGTTCTTACATTTGCCAATCTAGAAACACATGCATCTATTTAAAAATAGGCAAACCCAGTGGTTTAATGTTTCACCAGAATCTACCACAATATAATTTCATTTTTGTTTAGAAGAGAATCAGCATTACCATTGGGCATCTGATAATTCTGTTTACAGTAGTTTTCTGAATCTGAAAGGGATTCATAACCAATGGCTAGTGCTGCAATCTGCTTTGGAGTGGCAGGTTCTGGAGTTAATTCATCGAAGCATGTAGTTTATGTGAGTAAATTATACAGGTAGTCCATTTTTAGCACCATAGTTGGTACTGGCAACTCAAACGTTAAGCAAAGCGGTTGCTAAGTGAAATGTAACTCTGCTAATGATCTAACTTCAGCTTTCCTTCATTTTACAGATGTACATAGGTCAGAAATGTAGGATAAGACGTAAAGTTACTTTTTCATCATTGTCATAATTGTGAACTGTTGCTAAATGAAGCATTCACTAAACAAGGATTACCTGGTACATTTTTGTAAGCTGTAATATTACACATCTCTAAGTTAATAGTTTATGAAAACAAAGTCTTTTATTTTCAGTCTAAGCCAGTGATGGCTAACCTTTTCAGCTTGGTGTGTCGAAAATCGGGAAAAAGTGTAGCCTTCCTCGGGTCATGTGTCACTTCAAGAAATATCAATAATTTGGTTTATGATGGACTGGGCTGGGGTGATCACACGGGGCTGTGAAACTCGTCTCTCTGGTCTCAGGGCTGCAGGTGCAGGATGTGGGGATCGGAAGGCCACCTTACAGGGCTGTGAACCTCATGGATCTCCTTTCCTCCTGTAGCGTTCCTGAGGTAATGAAACTGACAAACCTCAGTTTATGGCGGTTAAAACTGGTTCTCTGCTGCAAAGATCTCGCGGCAGCGGTGACACCACGCCTCCACGCAACAAGCAGGGAGCAGGGATTGGAGCAGAGCACAGGCAGCCTCTAAATGTGCAGGTTTTCCCCACACCAACAGGCGTGTCAGTCAAAGTGCCTCGGCGTGTCACAAGTGACACGCGTGTCATAGGTTAGCCATCACTGGTCTAAGCCAAACAAAGAGGATCTTCTGAATCAATACAAAAATATAATGATCCTTAATATTAATATAACATCTTGCTACCGAGAAGGCTACTTAGAACATTTTCAGAACTGAATGGCTTATAAATTGCTGTAATATAAATATGAATAAATGTGAGTGCTACTTCTTACAAGGAGAAAAATCATTACATTTGAATCAGTGGTTCTCTACATATTAATTTTTTTCTTTCTGTAGAGATATTCAAGTACATGAGTCATGGACTTTTGATTGTACTGTTTTTTAGTTATCAGGGCAAAAAAAGGAAATAACAATGATCATAGTTATTTGTGTGTGTTTTTTAAAAGATGGTCAATCAATTTATCCTCCTTCTGCCAGAGCAACATTAAACAGGATTTCATGATAGCATAATCTTCAAAGCATTCCATCACTATTGAACATTAGGAGGGAAATGGCATTCC